GCGAATTATTTTTTGATCCTCAAATATATCGAATGTTAATTGGAAAGTTATTATATCCAACTCATATGAGACCTGACGTCACATATGTTGTCCATTTATTAAACCATTTTGTTTCTTCTCCTCAACAACCTCATCTTGCAGTTGTTTATCATCTCTTATCATATGTTAAGAGGTCTCCGGGTCTTGGTCCTTTTTTTTTTAGCAAGTAACAATTTACAGCTCAGCGTGTTTGTGGATGTTGATTACAGTTCATGTCCTGATACTCACTAATCCACCACTGATTATTATACATATATTGGTAATTGTCTCATTTCATGGAAATCTAAAAAAAACAACAAACAGTGATTCTGTGAAGCAGAATATCGAACAATGGCTTCCGCTACTCGTAAGCTAGTATAGATTGCAGCTCTTCTTTCTTCCTTTTACGTTTCTGTCTTGAATGCTGCGCTTTTTTGTGACGATCAACCAGTCATCTATCTAGCTTCGAATCAAGTTTTTCATGAATACAGTAAACACATTGAAGTTGACTGTCACTTCATTCACGACTAGGTCACTATTGGTTTTATCAAACCTTTTCACGTTCGATCTATTAATAAGTTAGCAGACATTTTCACCAAAAACACTTTCTTCACCAAATTTTACAAACTTTATGGTCAAGTGGGATTTCTCAACATTCATCGGTCTCCATATTGAGGGAATGTTACAACTAATATTTTAGTAGGATAGTTCACGTTAGTTAGGTTTAACAGCTTATATGTATAGGGAAGTTGTACTCTTAAATTGTAAAGTGAGATCTTTATATACTTAGCAAGTTTGGTTAATAAAGAAGATTTTTTTTCACTTCTTATCTTTGATATTTTCTAAGGTTTAGGGTTTATTTTAAGGACATTTGAGGGTCATACGCTCAAAATATGCCAGATTACTTATAGAAACTATGTTTAAACTATGGCCTTGCTTGCTAAGATGATTGTATTCTTTTCCTTCATTTAAAAAATGGAAAGGTTTTTAACGAAGGATTCATCCTTAATGGATTATCAATAAAATTTATCATTGTCGAGCGAATAGTAGTTAGGGGTGTCAAAAGGATCCGTCCTTCGAAATCATCTTTGTTGACCAGCTTTGTCATGCTATCGGCCAACCTGTGTACTCCGCATCGTACCTGTGACATTGTTATTATCCATTTCCTCTTCATTAACTCTTGTATGTGCTGAAGTATGGTCGGCGATGTCCCTCTTTATGTACTTCGAGTCAGCAAACGATATGCTTCCCCGCTATCTACTTCAAGGATTACCTTCCTTTCTCCTTTGTCCCGTACATGCGATAAGCCCTCTAGTGCCCCCAAAGCTCGGCTTCGACTACAGTGCAAATTCCCACTGCTCTAGGGAAACCTTGCATTCATTCTCCATTGTTGCTTTTTATTACTCCCACGCAAAAGGCATAACCGTCCGCTAAATCCTCTTCCCGTCCATGTTAACTTTAACCCACTCGATCGGTGGAGCCTCCCAATCCTTGATTTTTTTAGACATCACGTAGGGATAAAGTTTGAATTAAATATTGATAAGGTCGAAATATTAGATTATTTAAAAAAAATATAAAGACTTATTAGGTATTTAAATTTAAAATTCAGCATGAACCAAGTGACCTTAGTGATTAAGGGATTGTTGTTAATCTTGAGGTCTCGAGTTCGAATACTATGCATGTAGGGATATGAGCGTTAATTGTCAAATGGTTGAAAATCTTTATACATATACTACATTGTCTTCACTCTATATTTATATAAAAAACCTCAAAATTTTAAACTTACAATGACCTAAGTTGTAATTAGACAAAAAATTTGAGAACACGGACTTATCCTTCTTTAGTTCGATCCCTACTTGATTAAATATTTAATGAATTTTTTATGTTTTAAATTAAAATATTTATTTTTATACTAACTAAAATATTATTAAACCAAAATTAAATAGAATATACAAATTTTAAGAGGCTCCTTGGCCGCCAACAGAGGTCCGTCTCTGACATCAGGCCTTCTTGTTATTGTGGTTGATTCCTTGTCTCGGATACTTTGGATTGTAGTCTGTTCCCATGCTCCATCGACTGTTGTCCGTTCCATCTTCGCCGGGTAGATTTCTATGTTTCCATAGTGCCCATAGTAGTGAATATATCTTATTTTTAATAAATTAACCATTTTTTTTTATAAAATTCAACTAGGGTATAAAAACTTAGTAAACGACTTTTGCACAACATACGGAACTGAGCCGTTTCCCGAGCGCATGAATACATTTAATTATTGGATATAAATATATAGCAAAAAATACATAAACAATCGGATCTAATTGTAAATCCCAAAAAGAAAAATGAATGCCTAAAACCAACAGTTAATGTAATTAAAGAGTTCGATGGGAACAGCTGCGTAATGAATATCTTGCAAATTATTGGTGCCGACAAACATGGACCACTTTTCAAAATATTGCAAATTAATGAACACAATTATAAAATTACTGCTAGTGTTTTAACATAGTATTGCTCCTCATAAAAACAAGTGCAAAGTGAGATTGAATTGAATTTGGACCCACACATTTGAAATTTAGGAGAAAAATTAACCTTCTTATCCCCAATTTGATACCTACTCCCTCCGCTTCAATTTAGATATGCACAAAAATCACATAATTATTAGTTTTCTTAAATAAATTTTGAGTTTGATTTGGAGTAGATTTAGATTTTGTAGTTGGGTTTTAATCAAAATCTCTTATTCAAAATAAATAAAAACTTAATAGGCTATATGTTTACAACTTTTTAATGTTTCCTTTTTTATGAAAATAATGGATTTTTTTCATGCTCTTGTAGTATAATTTTTTATCTTCTTGTAATATATTTTCATTTTTTTTAAGATTGAGTTTAACGTTCTCTTTTTAGTTGGTGTTTATTTGATTATCTTAGATTTGAAATTTCAGATTGATTGATAGGTGCGAAAAATCACCCCATATAGTTCATGCATGAGTCATAATAAAGTCCATAGTCAACGTGTCATTATCGCTATATTTATTTTTATGTTAATGTAATAGTGTTAAAGATGCTTATCATTTATCGTCAACAATGGTATTTGTTTTTTTAATTAAAAGTTTAGGTCAGTGGTAGGTCCTTCAATTCAGGGCTAAATCATACCTAAAACTCAATTGTGATATACATAAGACTTTACATGTTGTCCACAAAGTGTGACAGTGGTGTGATTCAAACTTTGCCTTACAAGCTTAAATTTTTGAATCCCAACCACTTATGCCTTACTATAATAATTGTTTGGATCTATTATATTTTCAAGTTCTCTTGAATTTTTTAACCCTTTCTATGTATGATCTTACTTTCGTTATTTGGAGGTTAGTTTGTGCTCTCTAATGATTCCATGAAGAATAATTTACTAAGGTGATTAGTCTACTTTAATTTTTTTTATAAATTTATAATTTTTAAAATTATAACTTTATTATATTTTCTATTTATTTATTCAACAAAACTAATTGATGTTATTAATTAAAAATGTTTATGTAGGTGATTTTTTTCACATAATCGAAAATTATTTTCTTTATGTAACATGACTATATCATATTTATCCTTAAATCTATGGAAAACATGTATTTGATAATTCATATATTATATTTACACAGGGATGGACTTAGATAGGAGCGACTGGGGATGAACACCATATTTGAAAATTTTAAAATTATCACATACTTTAAATCTTTTATATCTTTTTATTGAAAACATATTTTCGCTACCTAAAATTTTATAAATTCAAGTTCACTACCTAACATAAAATTTTGTGTTTGTTTCTATGTCTATATATTTGTTATGCTATAATCATATTTTAAATTTATATAAAATTAGGTAGGTTAAAAGTAGGGATGGACATGGGAGTCGAACATGACGGGTTTCGATCCGATTTGATCAGATATGATTTTTTTTAAAATTTGGGTTGGGTCAGATTTAGGGTGAAAAATACCCAACCCAAGCTAAAACAATTATAGTTTTACCTTATATATTTAGGGATAATTACAATAATACACATCTATATATTATTTTATTTCAAGTAAATCTTTATTTTTACTATTTTTATTGAATAAAAATAATATTTTTAATAAATATATTATTACAGGCCGGGTTTGAATTTTATCTAAAAAAAATGGGTCATGTTCAGATTGGGTGAAGGTATATATTCTTTGGATCAGGTTCGGATCGGAAGGAGGATTTATAATTTTCAAGTTGATGGACCGAAAACCAGACCTGACCGACTCATGGCCATCCCTAGTTAATAACTACCCAATAAGGAAGATCCTTTTAACTAATAAAATCTTGGATCGTTAGAGTTTCATGCTTGAATTTCTAAGCTATGTACAAGTTAATTAGTTTAGGTTAACATGAATTAAATAATTTCTCTTATTTTTTTTCTTAAAAAATATTGTTGTTCACCTATACTCTTATATTGGTTTAAATAGTCAAATAAATTAATAAATAATCGAATTTAATTAATATTAATTAAATTATCGAAATTCCTAAAAATATTTAATTGTTAATAAATCAATCTCTTATAAAAATAATTAACCTCTATAGATAAAGATGATCAAGAGAGGATGGGTGAGAGTGACTACTCCTTAAAAATTCCATATTCTTAAATATTTTAGATATTTTTTGGTATTCTTTATTAAAAATTTATTTTATTCTCTAAAATTTTATAAATTTGTCTTCTCTTTAAAAATTTATAGATTTACATCTCTAACATAAAATTTTATTCTATCACTATCTATGGAGTATGATAAATTCTAATAATATTAAAAAAAATTGATTCAATAATTAATGTAAGTTTATGTTACTTTGTTTATAATTGAATTACTTTTTTTTAAATAAAATTTTAAAAAAGACAAAAAATTAAAAATTAAAATATTTTTAATAGATTCAAATATAAAAAATATCATTAAACCTTAATTAATTATCTTAATTACTACAAAAATCAATCATCTACCATGATGAACGGCTAAAGGCACCAACGCTGACAAAGGGGTAGCAGAAGGAGTAGGACCCTGAGAAGGAGCCGGCGAATTCCTACAAAGAGGACACGTGGCATTCATCCGCAGCCAGTCATCAATACAATCGACATGGAAACAATGATTGCAATCTGGTATGCACCGTATTTGATCCTTAGCTCCATACTCTATCAAGCAAATGCAACACGCCCCGTCGTTCGGCCCCGGCAGCCGCTGGCTCTCGCCTAATACGATCTTCGGATACGACTCGATGATCGGACCGTCGAGGCCTAATACCACCGTAGCAATCTCCACTGATTCCTCGTCGGCAATGCTACGATACGTACAATCGCTGTTGCTTCGTCGGCAACTTCGATTGTTGTTGCTTCCGCTAGCTTTAACTCTCACGCAAGCGTAGGAAGCGAGCATGATAGTGGAGACTAGTACGAGGATGCTAACAGCAATTGCTATGCCGTAACCGAGACCGAAGCCGGTTGTCGAAACCGACGGATCCGCCGTGGACATGAGTGGATGTTACTGGCTACCGCCGACTAAACTGTGTGAAGAAAGGGAAGAGAAAGAGAGGGCGAGATCTGGAGATTATGGCTTTCGAAGTGTGAGCTAAAATGGAGGTGGTTGATTGGGGGCAGGTGGGCTGAGGCCCACCCTGGTTCGCGGGAAAAAATTAATTCCAGCTTTGGAGTTTGAAATTTATTGTTTTCAAGGCAATTAGATAATTTAATATTTCTTTAAAAAGGAAAAAAAATATTCCATTAATAATACAAAAAATTAACTACTCCCATAATCACCGAACTATTACTAAGATTGTGCTTTTGAGACACGACTTTAAAATTTTATGATTCTGCCATTAGACTAATGGTCTTGTATCATTTCAGTTATTGGTGATTGGAGAATATTTTCTTTGAATCAGTGCATGTGTGTGTGTGTTTTTTGAAATAAATTCGTTTTATTTTTGGTTTTATCGATTATAAAAAATTATTATTTATACATATGTTAGTATTATTAATCAACATATTAGAAAAAAGTTGGGATGACGATCAAAACTTACATTTGAAAGTGTAATTAAAGGTGACAAACAAAAGGATATAAACCAACACAGATCAACTTGTAGATTCAGATTATTTTAGTCTAAGATTATCTGGAGTTTGGAAATTTTCTAATCTTCAGATTTTTTAAGTACAATTTTTTTTGGATTTGGAGTTTTTGGACCTATACTTTTCCTTATTTAATTTTTGGGTTCATATTATGATAGATTCGGAACAATTTGAATCATATGAACTTAACAAGTTCAAATAATTTTAATATTTTATACCAGATGAGTAATTTGAATAATTAATTTTACTTTTATATAATGATAACTGGACTTGGGAAATTTGACCCATACCCGATTACCCAAATAGATTTATCCGATCCGAGATTCGAACAGGATGACCCAAAATTGATCCGAAATAACTCGAATTGAACCTAAGTTGGATCGAATTTTAGTTGGGCCGAAAGTAACCCGAACTGAAAAACCCCAAATTGAAAGCAACTCGATTTTAGTTTACCCATATTCGATCTGAATCGATCTATTTTTAGCATTGATAAATAGTGAAATGATGTATGTTTTATTCTCATTTTATATTATACTACTAGTTAACCATCACTTTAATAATAGTTTAATGGTTTAGTCATCTTTCCTCGGTTAAAAGACCATCTCTATATCTAATGAAATAACTTCTAGCTCTGAGTTTGAACTGTGAATATATTCACATAAAATTTTTGATTTTAAAGACTTGTTGATTAGATTGGTTAAAATTAAAATTTCTAACTCTAAATTTGGTATGTGACAATATATATTCACGTAAAATTCTTGAATTATAAGTGACAAAGAGAATCATCGAAAGTTATGACGACAAAGAGTAATAATGATTGACACAAAATTCTAAAAGTTGACTCTAATTTATATAATTAGAACTAAATTAATAGAATGTATAAATAATATAAATTAAGTGTATAATTATACTATTTTTAATTCTCATATCATCTTCTCCATTAAATATTATCAATTAACGGCTTGATTGATATAATTTAAAATCCTCTAATAATTAAGTGGTCATGAATATATTATGACCAAAAATTTAATCTCTTTTTATTTCCAAAAAGTTAATCCACTGGTTGGAGTCAAAATTATATTCCAAATTATTAGCATATTATAACGTCCAAATAATAATAATAATAATAATAATAATAATTTAATAGATTTTCATTAATTTCATTGTGTGACAATTTACTATTTTGAAACCTCGTTTAAAAATTAAAGTCAAACTGAAAATACATTCAAATTTAGCAGAAATTATTCAACAAGATTACCAATTAGACTTTAACTTTGAAATCAAACTAGAGGGACTAAATACCTAAAATTTAAAACTGAGTGTCTAAATTTCAAAAGTATAAAGAGTACAAGGACCAGAGCCATAATTAGACCAAAAATAAGTGTTACTAAAATATCTGGGTGGACGTAAATTGCATTCTTATGCGTGTATCTGTTCAAGTACTATCCATCTGCTTTGCTTTCCTTAATCTAGATGCTGTTTGATCTCTGTTAGGTTCAATTCTCTTTTGAAGGTTCTAGCTTTTTTGATGGAATCTCGCACATGGATGCAGTGGCTTTGTTTTTCTACTGTTCGGTTCAATTGTGCCATAGCTTGGAGAAAAATGTAGGGTTGGGTATTTGTTTTATTGTCTGTAACTCTTTATGTTGAGGTTCCTTCAGGAGATACTAGGTGTGTATTTGTGTACTTAGTTACGGGCTGCTATAGTGTCGTTGTTCGATCTGTGTACTGATGTAATGTGGGTCTTGGCTGTTTATTATTTCCCATTCCAAGGTATACTCTTTTTCCTCCAAATAGGTTTAGGGAGGTTTTTTAACGAGATCATTGGGGTGGTGTACTTTGTGAATTCTAATACAAAGTACCCATTTTTCAAAAAAAAACACACATTTTGTTCTAAATCAATTTCTTTTAAGTTTGAGCTCAACTCAAGAATTGTCATTTTGCTATCAAACTAATTTTTCATCAAAAAATTGTTGACAAAACAAAATGAATGTTAAAGCTAAATGGGATACTTTTAACAAATTTAGGACTATTTTGGAGACATTGTCTATTAGAATGTAAGATTTCATCCTGAAATCTCAAGTTTCAATCGAGCTAAGGTATTTGAACATTAATTTTCGAGAGTCTCGATGTCGGTTCGATAAAAGAAAATGTCCTTTACCATAAATAAACTTTCCGCAACCTGTGCTCGTCGACGTTTATTCCGCGTCCCAGTTCGGAATGTTAGCCGTTGCTTCATTTACCGTCTTCACAAGGGTCACCTACAGACAGTAATTAGAATACAATGAAACCGGATCAGAATCAAACTACAAATGCATAAGTACATGCAAAAGAAAAGGGCTAAAACGGACTTGGAAAACCGATTCATAAACGAGTTCGTATCAGTTACTAACTAAAATGAACGTATTCGATGAGAAGAATCCCTCGAATACATTCGAGCCATACCCTAACTCGGACTTTGCTTTGAACTATCTAATTGTTTTTCTTTGGTTCTATGAAGCTGAAGTTCAACCGAACAAAACTTGAATTTACTACATTTTGACCAGACGGGTCCTCAGCTTAGGTTGGCCAAGTCGAGCTAAAAAAAGAGTGCGATGACTTGCACTAGTAGAAAAAACCCTTTTAATGACGCGCATTGCGCGTCATCTATGGGTGCGGATGACACACATTTGTCTGTCGTTGAAGTCACCGACATGAATTTCAGATGACAAAAGTGAAATTGTTCAAAATTTTACCGGTAAGAGGCAAACATGAGTCAAGATATAAAAGATGTTTAAATTTTGCAACAATATCTTACTTTATTTGTGATCTCTAGATGACGCCAAAGCTCTTCATCATGTTCCATATCTAAACTTAAGTCCAAAGGGGTGAAACACTAAATTCACATGAAATAATAAAAGAAAAGAAGAAGATGGTTACCTGATTAGATTTTGCAAGTTGCGAGTCCCTAAAGAAAAATTAGTGTAAAAATAAGAATCAAGTCAATAGTTCAGTGATCTTTTACTAGAAGATGGTTACCTGACAAAGTTTAACCGGAAATTAGTGTAAAAATTAGATTACAACATCAAGATATTCTTTTACTAGCTCTCTCCACACTTGCAACTGAAGTGCAAGTTTTGAAGCACATGATATCTTTTATCAATGTGTTTACCTGTTGCACATACACGACAACCTCCAAGCGCATAGCTGAGTTTCTCTTGAAGTATAAAAAGACGTGAACATGATTAAATGCCCTCAAGACACTTGCATGATGCTTAACAAGATTGTAAATTCCAATGCCTGCTAAAGAACAAAACCATATGAACAAAGCAGGGCCTACAACAAGTCCTACTTGAATTGTTCCAAACTTCTGTACACTGAACAAAATTACAAGAAAGGCAACCGATATCATCACCACTTCATCTGCAAATAAAGAAAATAAAATAAGGAAACACAATAGTTAATGACTATTTACCTGTAATAATATAGAAAATCATAAAGGAACATAAACCATAGGATGTAAAGGAGGGAAGGCAAAAGAAAAAAAGAAAAAAAGGTCATATTGTTTCTAATACATACAGATTTAACATTTAGCTAGACTATAAACTCTAGTCCGACTAAAGTTAAACTATCATTACAAACAACACATGATCACGAAAAAGGCAACTGCAGAAACACAATGAAGAATTGTAGACTCATGATCAAACTATAAGATCTACAGGTTAATAACCATCGCATGATATATTCAAAATAACAAATAATTTTCAATAACATACAAGTTAAATTATGCTAAATATTCCTAGCCAAAAAGGTCAATTAGAAACAGGAATGTCCTCTTTAACAGTATTTACTAACAAACAGTGAAATGTGAGTCAGCAAAGCAATAATGTTTTATAGAGTTGATAACAACATGGAATAATAGCTTACTTTGTTCAATTGCACCAACTCCAACCTTCAGACCACCAACAGAAGACATAACTACAAATAAAAATGCAAAAGTTATCATCTAAAAATTAAAAATGAAAATAGATTTAATAAAAAAAGTTATGTTGTATTCTACCATAGCATGATTCCGTAAACAAAAGAGATGAAAGAACAGTAACACATAAAACCTGACATTGTTGGGGTAACAACCCCATCAGCTATTACCATAGAAGTGCCAACAAGCACTAACATCAGAAGAAGTTTGTTCAGAGTCAATGGAGTCTCTAGTCTCTCCTTTATTTTAAGTGATCTCTCGAGCTCAGGAGACGGTACCTTTAGCATGAAGCAAGATATTCGGGTATCTGATGGAACCAGATTCGGGAGAAGACTGACCTTAGCATGCCGAGAAATCAATGAGTACAAATGCAAAAGTACCACCTTCAAGAAAAAAGTAGCAACAAATGATGTAAAACAGTTGACAAGGAATATATACTAAACATATTTGTTTAAGGCCTACATAAAAGAATGAAAGATCATAAAATACAGCAACAAAAGATGTCAAATAGTTGACATGGAATTAATATTTAACATATTTGTTTAAGGCCTGCATAAAAGATCATAAACAGGGACTTGATTGGGATTGAGGAACATCTGGCATACCTTCACCGTCATCATTAGCCCAAAGAACGATAAGGACATATTTGACAAGCGGAATCACGAGTAGAGTGTATAGAACTAGTGATAGTTCTCCAATAACATATTCATCTCCGTTGATAGGTGCCTTGCTAAACATCACACTAAACGTATATAAAGGACTTGTTCCAACATCACCAAATACAACACCAAGAGTCTGAAACGCATGCATTATTATCCTTCCAATACCAAAGTCCTGAGATCAAAAGTCAAGTATACACATAAAAGTAAGCTGCAAAATTAAAGCACATTAAAAAAAGGTATGCCTCAATGCGATAAAGTTAGATTCCAAACAAATTCGATTTTTCAAGTTTACAAACAGAGGACTGATTTATTGCATTAGCATCATGAAACAAGAACAATATACCTCGTAGTCACTTCTATGCGCGCCATGGACTTCGAGAGCTTCAACGTCGAAAGAATCAATGCGCGGTTCGGTGCGAATCAAATGCTGCACCGGACTATCCTCGTCTTCGGAATCTACTCCAGCTCCATACGATACATATGTATTATCTTCCTCGTTCTCGATCTCAGATTCGTCTTCGCCTGGGAACACCCAACGAGATTCCAACGAATCCATCAAGCCTGATCCTACTGCTCTTCTAATCTCTCCTCCTCCTCCTCTATCCGACGATGAACCTCCGCCGGCCTCCTCTGCCATTGAGAAAACAAATGATTCATAAGAGATTCGATGAACATCTATTTTTTCTTGGGAGATTTTTTATTTTTTGAGATGAGAGATTTGGACACACATGTATGTCGGGGAAGAAGCGGGAAAGGATGAGAATAAGGGGAGAATTAAAAGACGACTTTTACAGATGACACACAATTAAAATTGTACTCCGTGTTTTTACAAATTTTTTGGATTATGACTATTAAATATGACACATATTATTGTAAGTCATAAATCGTTCAGATTTTAAAAAACATGACATTTTTTTATGACACACATATTTTACAAGTCATAAATTAGCGTGTGTCATCGTTTGTGTGTCATTAAAGATATATTTTCTTGTAGTTGCCTCGACTTTACAAACCAATCACCGAGAAAACAAAGAACAACTCAGAGTGAACAAAAACCACAATACATGCCGGTACAGGGAGAATCGGACCCTAGAACACAATATCGGTCCTTATGGTCCGTGGCACTTCTTAGCACTGATACTTAAAAGTACATACCACACTTTCAGGGACCCCCGGTGGAGGCAAGGGGATATTCCGTGGTGGTGGTTCTCGTAGATATGACCTCTTGTCGAATCCCCACTAGCTGATTTTACCATATGTTAACTCGCCCTGAAAGTTAAATGACAAATAAATAAAGTTTAAGCAATATTGTGGAAACAAGTTAATTCAAACTAAATCAGGTCTGATGTCGTACCCAGAACGGTTTACCTTCATGTTGTAGTCACATCCATAGGTGTAATGAATTATGAACTTTTTCCCCATCTCCAGATCTCATTGTGGCTGAATTATGAACAAATAATAAAATGCCACGAGACGCATCGATGAACACTAAACCGAAGACGGAATGCTTCATGAAAAGTGAAAACGTTTAGAAAATCAGGTGACATACCTGAAGCATGAAGTCTTTTCGGACAATGTGTTGCACGACATGCAACGCCGACGCCACAGCATACGCATACCTTCGGTTTTTCATACATGTCGGTACCGAAAATATGTGTGTCCAACGTGCATTCAGGCAATGGTATGGAGATATATATGAAAAAAAACTTGGAAAATATTTGAGGATACCCATGTCGGACGCAACACCATATACGACACTCTAGCTCTAGGTTGAGTCCGAGTAAGATCGCCAATACTTACATTTCTAGCACCCACCCGAAAGCTTTATCGGTCTCTGGAATAAAGGCGATCAGGGAATTTGAAATTACTAAACAAGAAATTTTGCCAAAAACAAACAAGTAATCCCGCCACAAATGTTCTGCATTCATTTATACAGCAGATGAAAACTTCCATGCATACAACAAATGCATTCTTTCAAGTTATATCGATCTATAATTGATTCGAGATAATTAAGGTTCATGACAACCTATGAGGAATCTAATCCCACTTGTAACATAGTCTAATGATGCTGAATATCGGATGACTGACATTTCTTTGGCTGATACAAGAATTTGCTTTCGTACCAAATATAGGATCAATGCATATAGTCCTTGGGTGCCATTATTAGACTGCAGCTTCTTTTGAACGATGTTACTCCGACTCTTTATTTTATTGTCTAACTGATTCGAAGGTTATCCATTTGAACATAGTGCCATTGATTCGAAAGGATTCTAAATTCGAGCAACCATTTAAGCACACAGTGCCTACAAATATGAACCTGAAACTTAAGAATACAATATAAAGAAATTTCAATTTGCTTGTATCGATAATTAATGTCTCACTTAAGAAAGTCATCTATTTAGCCGGTCTCAACCAAATCGAAAATACAAACATGTCCAAGAAATACCTCCTTTCAAGGAGGTGATACTCTTCGTTCTCGAAAATATTATGCCCTGATGTAGCGGTCAATTGTCTACGTTGTCAACAAAATAGTTCACTTTGTCGAGATTGATGACCCAAACTAATGAAATGGAAGTCTAAGACTATTCTAAGCCTTTAAACACATGTAAAAGTAACGACTAGTGCAACTAAAAATATAGTGATGCCAAAACGTACCCGATCGAGACCTGCTGGAAGAGGATCAACTACAACGGTCGGAATCTCATCCATCAAGTTATCGGGACTTCCAGAGTGTAAAATTCGAGTGAACCCTCCCATCTCCGACCCAGGCATGTCCTGCTGCTTCTTATACCTATAGTACATGATCCAACACTGCCATTTGCTGTACGGAGCATCAGTAGCTGTTAAGGCAACATGGAAGGCAGTTTGGCATTCTTCGTTTTTTTTTTTTTTTTTGTGCACTTTCAGGCATCTCAATGACTGGATCGAAAAACATTCCACCATCGGAGTTGTCTACCATCGGTTTGGAAATCGATCTATTGTGCATTACCATTGTTACCTGATTGTAAGTGGCAAAGGAGAACCCAAGAACTAATGTAATTAGGAGGAGCAGTGAAGGACTTCCCATGTTCTTTCACAATATCATTGACAGTTGCAGTCAAACTAAAACGAGAACACCAATCTCCGATCCTACAAACTTCTTAAATTCGAGCTCAACACCTGTAAAAATCCTAACCAGTCACAATTGGAGTTCCACTGTTCCAGTTGACTTACAGGAGACTGCAAAAGCTTGATTCTTCTGAAAATTAATGTAAGACACTTGAAAATGACTAATTGCAATGTGTTTAAATTGAATTCCATTACAATATTTTTTGAAATTAAAAATAAATAAAAAATTTCATTAAATAAATAAATGTTACCATTAAAAGGAAACAATGAATCTAAAAATTGAGATTCAAAAGTAACCACATTCACATAATTTTATAATTGTAGAAGCACGCACAAATCCTACATTTTATTATTTTTTCCAGATTTGAATCCTCTCAATAACCTTCCTTCACGCCTTTTTCATCACCCTATCACTATATCTCCTTTCTTCACCATAAAAATGTCACCTTTCTCCAATATTTCGGTTAACCGATTACACTGAAATTTTTTTCGGTTAATCGGTCGGTTAATTTTACGTTTAGTCGGTTAACGGTTAATGATTTTTTTTAAGTTCAGTTATCGGTTAATTCGGTTCGAAATCGGTTAATTAACTGAATTAACCAAAAAATTTAAATTTTTAAAATTTTAAAATATTAGTTATATTATTTATTTATTAATAGCTTTGTGAGTGTTTAAATTTTGGTTTAAACCGAATTAATATATTCAATTAACCGACCAAAACTATTAAATATATATTATTTAAAATTTTGGTTAATTCAGTTAACCGATTGATTAAATGAACTTTGTTCGGTTCGATTAATTATTTTCAAAAAAAATCGGTTAATTAAATTTTGAAAATTCGGTTTCATTCGTTCGATTAACCGAACTGACCGGTTGAACACCCCTATATACTAATCTAAACCTTGTTTATATTAAACAAAAGGGAAAAAACCAAAAAGAGACGTGCAATTGAATTAGGTAACTAAAATAGAGAAAAACTTAAGTTTAGTGACTTTTTTGAAAGAAAAAAACAATTAAGTGATGAAAACAAAACCGTGAGAATAGTTAAATGACTAAATATATAATTTACCCATGTTGTTCTTAACTGTGTTAATGATTTGAGACAAACGGAACAACGGTTTTTAGTTGAGAGGGTAAAACGATACGAAAAATACTTTAAGGGGTAACTTGGTGAAAAAGGTATAATTCAGGGCAAATATGCATTTAAGCCCAAAAAGTCCTAAAAATGAAAGGTAAAACATACAAATTGTCACTAATATTTAAATAAACTTTTATTTCTCCACTAAAATTTTAAAAATAATAAATTAATCATTGATTTGTAACAAATCAATCCCTCATCATTAACAATCATTATCGAAATGCTGATAATCTGACATTCTTTTACCAAAACTTTTGATTGACATCTAAAGAAAAAATGGTCATCTTCTCCATTCTTCTTTTCTCTTACCTTTTCACTTAAAAAATCAGGACAGCTACCCCACCAGGAATAAGAGAGAGAATACACGCTGGAAATAATTTTCGAGCTCCTGCACATTATTTTTCCCTTGACCCTTCATCTATGTTTCCAGTTCCACTGAGGACCTCCAATTTCCCCCACATATAGCGTATAGCTCACAAATATCAGGTTCGTTTTGATGAACATAGAATGCTCCACTTAGTGCACTCTTTTCAAATTAATATCTAAAACAACACTTTTTTCTATTGATAGTATGTATCACGTTAAATAAAAATGCGTCTCATGGAGCATTTCTTTATCCTTTGTTGCATGTTCAATCAACCAGTCCCAGAGATCGAATTTTTTATTGGTTGAAAGGGGGGAAATATCATTTTAGGAATTAATATGTGCCAATTTGGAAATTATTTTTTAGGGTGTTTTGTTTTTCTTAAAAAAACATACATTTTGAGTAATCTCGAAGAAAATAAATAAAAATAAAATTGAGGTGCCCTCAAATCAGTTCAGCCTCTTCCAAAATCTTCCTTAGGTACTCTAGCTGCTCCATTTCACCTTCAAGTTCCTCCCACTGAAAACATAAAGACAACAAATAAATGCCATGCCATCACCTTCTTTTGAATCAAAGAAATACCCTGTCTAATACAAATTACAAGCCATGTTATCCGAATTCGGTTAAGTGTCGGATTCGGATATATGTCGAACACATGTCTGTTGCATTCTTTTCTAAGTTTTTTACATCATTGAAGTCATATCCCCGATCCCATGTCCGAAACTGTCGGACGTACATGTTTTATAAAGACGCTTCGAGCAAAATGAAGAGTCGGAATAAAATAAAGGTTACCTCTTGGTAAGACAATGATAGAGGCTTCCAACCAGAAGAAGCAATATGACGCCGTTTTAAGACGGTATGCCCTAACGGTGTTCCTGTAGAGATTCAGATGAAGATCATTGGATGCATCAAGAATCAAGATCAGGATAAAGTATCTAAGCAGTCTGTGTATTATAGTCGAAAGTTCGTGTTATAGAACAATGTAATTTAATCTAAGGGAGTAATCGAGCCGAGCCAAGCTCGAGCTATAAAAGCTAAATCTATATAATATGAATTATTGAAGTATCGGACTTCATATAAATATAAAAAAGCCTTAAACGCGATTATGAAGCGATAGAATACACTAACGCAACAAGAATACAAGAATTGTCGAAAATACTGACCTGTATTCCTTGAGAAATGTGTTGGTCCATCAATCTCCAAAGCAACCTTTTGATCAACAAGAACAGCATCAACTATGTAGCAGTCAACAGGGTACTCTCTAACCCAATCAAGGCCAGTGCTCACAAGAAGACGGCCGACTTCCTTTTGAAACGATGAAGTTGTCTTTTGGTTAAACTTCTTAGTTTTAGCAGAACGAATGATTTTCGACTCGAGTTCACCACCGATCAATAGCTGGAGATGCGGATACTCGAGCTTTAAACATTGGTTCACCAGATGAACCTGTGAAGCAAACATAACATCTACCTTAAACTGTTCTGAAATCCGTTGCTCCTCGAAACGGCTCAATGTTTTCCAGGTATGGGAAAAGAACATTCGATCCAGCTCTCCGAAAACTGCATAGGACCAAGCTATATTCCCAAGCTGATACCTGCTTAAGGTGAGCACAGGAGGATCAGAAACTCCTCCAAATTCAACATCGCTACTTTTTTCTGCACTGGTTTCTTCATTGGTTTCATGGATTAAGCAGCATTTAAATTGGTTGGCATCGTTGAAAACAGTATCCATAGCTTGAAGCAAGTCGTCTGCAGGCTCGTATAGAGATGCAAACGCCCATAAAAGTTGAGCAAGCTCTTGTTCACGAAAAGTGTGAATTATGTCTGATGCCCTCTTTGCCAACTCTTTGAACAAATCCGGGGCAGAATGCCGCATTGTAGAGAACGCACCAGCAATATTAGCGACATTCTGAGAGTTGAACTCCTTAACTTTGGTCAAAGCCACCTCTGCAACTCGATCCATTTCGGACAAAAACAGTAACTCCCCTCCAATTTTTGACAGTGCCCATGAAATGTTAGAAACACCTTGAGCCGAGCATTCTGGGAGAGCCGTCATCGCGATACCAATCAGCATCGACATTTCTCTTTGTCGAGCAAATGCCAACCTGCGAGTACTCGGCATCGATACTTTCTCCATGTTCTTAGCAATCCTATGAAGTGCAGTGGCAATATTCAATGGAGAAAGTGGTGAAGGGCTTAAACCTTTCCCAACAGCCATTATCATCTCAGATGTAATCTCCAACACTTCTTCTGCAGTTTGCGATTGAACTAGATCTTTGTTCAAAGTGACTTCTTTTCTACGATTGGATGGGCCCGAAAATTGAGCTAATTTCTGAACAAACTCTTCCATTGCCTTCTCCTTCTTCTCTAAAAACATCCCATCCGCCATCGAACTCACCATATCTCGAAGTTGACTTGCATTATCATCGATCTGGTCCTCGTCATCACTGTCTTCCCCAAAATCAAAATCCTCTTCTATCTCCTTGATTTCTTTACTAATCACATCTTTTTTCGCAATTCTCTTCTTCTTCTTCTTTTTTATCAAATCCTCGACTTTATGAGTCAACCCCCTAGATTCAATAGATTTGAGTGCCATTTTTCTAGCCTTCAAACACCAATCCATTTCTCCATTATCATCAAGAACCCTAGATTTGTCTTGTTTTTTCCTCTTTTTGGGCGCTTGATAACCAAATGGATCAATCTCCCCTATGAACTCCAATTCCCAATCTTCCATTCCATCATCATTAACACCTTTCCCAGTACCAACACTAGAATTTTTACCCAAACTTGCAAAGTTTCTTCTTGGAAACCCGAGCCGACCTCTTAATTTCACTAATGGAAGATTAATAACTTGCTTTGGCATGAAAATTGAGGGTTTTAAGTAAGTTTGTGTACGGAATGGATTCATCAAAAACTCCATGGAACCTTTTTTTCACTCGGTTTATCACAGATTAATGAATGAAAATACCAAACAAGAATTATAATAACTACGAAAAAAAACTCTAGAATACCATCAAATATCAGTGTTCATTAAGAGAAGCGAACACTCAAAACACCAGAATTCGAAAGAAAATGAGAAAAAAAAATGAAACATACCCATTACCGTTAGCTCACTGCTTTAGCTGAAAATTGAGAGACAGCTAACAAAGGTTATTGCTTTATGATTTTCTTCGGGTTTTCTTCTTCTTTATTTTTTAAACAATTTGTGGATAAGATACAGAGTAAACTATAGGTTTAGTATTTATACTATTACTTTTATTTTGTTTTGGTATCTTAACTTAAGTTTAGGTTTCAATTCGATCCTGTTAAAAAATTAACAAAACTACTAATTTGGTTTTTTTTTCCAATGATGACATGGTGTTACCTTATAGTGGCACATCAATATTACCGTTAAGTTTTTAACGATTGGGTATCAAAATGAAACTTAAACTAAACATTATATATGATTTTGAAGAAAAAAATTCTAGATACCAAAATAAAACAAAAGTAATAGTTTAGATACTAAACATTTAATTTACCGAGATATATGAGCGAGTGTGAATTGCAAAATAGGGCAACTAAGACAGCTTTTTTTGTAACTTAATGATATATAACAAAATAATTACTGATTGGGGAAATTTAACTTTGGCACCTAAATTCAACATTTATGTGCATTGTGGTATCCAAATTTTTTGTTGTGATTGGATACCTAACTTTTTGTTAATGGTCTAAATAGGTATCCAACTTTATATTAATTGTGTGTTTCCGTACTTTGAATTTCAACATTTAATTTTTGAATCTATAACGCATGTTATCACATTAAATAAATGTCTTTAAATTATGAGTATGAATCAGTGATAAATAAACTCTGAATTAATTTATAATAAGTATAATTTGTTCAATGAAGATTTCATTTAATAAAGATAAATCCCTCAATTAATTTTTAATATTTGTACCATGTGTAAACTCTGAATTTAATTTACAAATAATAGTCTACTTTGCTAATTTGGACAACTTTTTTTTTTTATTAATATCGGTTCATGAAAAATACTTTTTTCAAAAAATATTTTTAATGAGCGTTGAACAAAGGTATTATGAAAAAAGTGATTTACTAATTTAGAGTTTATGTAAAAAAATATAAAATATTGAAATATTTATTTTAAACATAATACTATAAAACTCAAGTGGAAATTGAATAATTCAATGTCCAAACACCACAAGTTTTATGTTTTTCCTCCATGTTAAGACAAAACTAAAATACGGGGGAATGTTGAACATTTAAAAAATAGAGGCACCACATTGGTAAAATTGCTAAAGTATAGGGACATTGGTGCCATTAACTCTTTTATTTATTATTATTAAAATAAGTCATTCTTGAATCCACCTGAAAAGGAAAAGGAAAACGCCTTTAAAGTGTGTCAAACAAGGGCGTCCCCTCATGATGTCCATACTTGAAAAAGTTATTTGCAAACAAAACATAGAGAAAATGGACTCGGTTTTGAAGTTAGGACTTGAAGAGATCTTGGCCAGAAGTAGCAGCAGTTATGGGACATAACCGGATCGAGAAAGAGTACGGCACGGCCGGAACCAGATACTTCTCGTGTACGCAGGGTGTCCAGCTATCGTCCCCGCCGATGCCCATGTGCTTATGGTCAAGATGCACCTGTAAAGAAACATGACATGGCAAACATTCAAATGAAGATGGAACCCAAATTCGAAACCCGAGTCATACACATGCATGCATGTATACTCAGATTCTCAAAATTGATCTGATTTCGATAATGTTACACTCCGGCATGGATATAGATTAGGTTTCGAGTGTCCACCATGCTGATGGATCGTTTATCAACAGTTTTCGGTTTTACAGCCGATCATTATTTCGCCCCCTCTGCATGAGGACAGGTCTCGACAAGAGGCCTGGCATACGCTTTTATTTTCGGCATAAGTAAACCCAAAATTCAAGGGGTTAGCTTCATATATTCATATACGTCATACAAGAGCCCGCACACACGAAAGTTCCGAGGCTAAGGAAAGCATAACATGGTTAACTCAGAATCAGGGGAAGAAAATTTACCTCAATGTTATCCCCTTTGACAAGTTCTTCATTCCGCATTGCCCGATCGAGCTCGGCGGTGCGATAATAACTTGCATTCAGTTGCATAGGTGGAGAAGTTCCGAATGTCGAAGCATAAATTCCAACACCATCCTTGTTCCGAAACGTCACCCATCTGACATCCGCTCTACCCCTGACTCCCCTGGAACTATGTAAGGAACATGCATACCTTCCACTGACTGCTCAAAAACCCCAACATGAGCCGCAGCTTTCCGATCCGGGTAACACTCGAATGGCCCTCTTCCATACCATTTCACTTGGTCCACCAACTTTTCCAAGTAGAACTCTACTCCAACGCGTGGTAGAGGAGGAAGATTAAAACTCGGTTTTACAGTGGATTCGATAATGATGTCACCAGAACTATGGATCGTGTAAAGCATGTCGACTTCGAATAAAGCCACCTTTTGCGACTCATTCAAAGTACCATTCTCGCCCTTAGTGAGACCAACGTAGGCAACGGCTAGTTTCACAAGATTGTCCGTCCTATTTTGTATCGAACAGCTTTCAGCTAAAAAATCTATCTCATCGATAAGGGCAGCTTTCCACTTAGAGTAATAACTGCTCGGACCTCCCCCTTTGTCGTTATCTGTTGGTGCTCGCCAAAAGCACGGAAATATGCCGTTTTTCATTATAGGGACACCTTCAACCTGCAATTTACCACCAATTGCTCCGAAATTAGAAGTTACAACATATGCCGTCATATGCTTTAAAGATAAACTGAAAAAATTAAGAAAGGTCATAGGCTTAGATTACCTTCCAGTTCTCAAGACTTCCGGTTTTCGTATTCAATGTAATCTCCCACAACTTGTTGCTAAATCTGATATCATCCCCAAGAAGTTCGGTAAAAAGGGCATCGTCTTTTGCTTTGATGATCTGAACAGCTCAAAGTAAAACATTAAGCCAATTCAGAATAATATAAATACCGTAATGCTCCGATTCGTTCATTTTTCTTGAAGCAGGTGTTTCTGACACATTCGGATACATGTATGCAAAAACTCTCTAAACACATGGAGAAACTTCAAAAAAACGCCAGTGTCAGACATACATGTATCCAACACTAAAACCTATCCGAGTACCATAAAACAAGAGAAAAAGGAATAGAACTTGCATGAGGTATGGAATCTCTTCTGGCAGGCAACTGGACTTGTGTCGACGATACAACATGACCGGCTACAACCCACAGTTTGGGGCGCAAAAGCTTAGCGGTGATCGTTAAAAATATTTCTACAGAATCCGAGGAAGCCCATAGAGGATACCACGGACCAGACTTCCATTCGATATCATAACTGCTCTGAGGTTCTATCACAGGAACGGATAAAACTCCACACCCAAGTTCATGCCCATCCCCGAGAACAGCCCATTCGAACTCCACTCCTTCCGTTGTATCGTAAAAATTAGTGTTCTTTATCTGCCAAGTTAAATTTTAACTAGATGTTGAAAACAGACTACATTACAAAAATGCAGGATCAGGAAAGAGAAACCAGACAGTACCATAACCATGCTTTCCCTTAGATAAACCTTGATCGACTGATAGACATACTTAACTTCTGCAAAAGATATGCGACCTTATAAGTGGTGATGCAATCGGAAAACTAAAATACAGATATCATCCTAAAGAGAGAACTGTACAAAAAATAAATTCAAATAGGGTACCTTGTAAGGTAGGCTGCGGAGTTCGGTCTGGCCATGTAATACCATGCAAACAGAAGTTCAAATCATTTGGAGAATCCCCAAAGTCGCCACCATACGCCCAGAATTTGCTACCCTTTTCATTGTCCTTCAATAGGGCCTATAAGAGATGGAGGCCAAAAATGCGATCAAATTCGAGCCATTAGGATAGAGCAAAGACTTCTTCAAATAAGGCCACATGTTTTTATAGTAAGTTGATGCATTTTTGCATTTTACAGGAAAATGACATGAAATAGACACAATTACGTGAATTTAATCACGGCAAGACAAACTATACCCAAAATCCTAAAGGGCCTTAAATAAGGATTCTCAACCTGGTCAACCCACTCCCATATGAAGCCACCTTGAAGGCCGAAAACGTTATCAATCGCTTCCCAATATTCATGTAGATTTCCACAGCTGTTTCCCATGGCATGTGAATGCCTGACATTATTGCAACACAGGACCTCAGATTAACCAAACGGAATGCCTACGAGAATAAGCTACAGCAGTAAAAAGGAAAAGAATAAAGATGAAAAAGAAACGAGTTAATATTAATGATATGAAGAAATACGTACTCGCACAAAATTAAAGGCCTTGTTTCGTTTGGATCATTTGCAATCTTTACTATGTCCCAAACGCGCATATACATTGGACATACAATATCAGTGGATGGGGTTCTAGATCCGCCACCTTCATAATGCAATACTCGTGAAGGGTCCCTTCCACGAATCCATCCTATGTAAAGTCTCCAAATTAATAATTGAGTACTGAAGTAATAATTGAGTAGGGAAGAAATAACATAAAAGGAGAAATAACGCAAGCATATTCGTCAGAACATTATACAGTAAGCGGTTGTACTTGAGCCATAAATTCTGGAAGTAAACATGATAACAATTTGAGCCGAGGGAAGAGAAATAGAAATAAATGCAGAAGCTCAAAGTAGTTTACAAACATTTAAAGCAACAAGTACATGGCAAAATGCAGTACCGGCTGAAGCGGAATGATTAGGTCCATATCCAGACTCATTTCCCAAGGACCACGAAAAAATGCATGCATGATTTTTGTCCCTTTCAACCATGCCTATAACACGGTCCATCATTGCAGCAGCCCATAAAGGTTCCTGAGTAGGATGCTTCAGATGTCCAGAAAGATCGAAACCATGTGTTTCGATATTGGCTTCATCTATCATATACATTCCAAACAGGTCACACAACTCGTACCAACGGGGATGTTGAGGATAGTGGCTGTTTCTCACAGCGTTTATATTATGTTGCTTCATTACAACCAAATCCTGCAAGAAAAAAATGAACAAATATATAATCCATAGGTCCAATTAAGTCACCAATCTGTGCTGCAACTTGGTAAGAAGAGAACAGTCGACAAATTAAGGCATCATTACCTTAACCATGCAAGC